TCTTTTCTTTTCTTTTCTTTTCTTTTCTTTTCTTTTCTTTTCTTTTCTTTTCTTTTCTTTTCTTTTCTTTTCTTTTCTTTTCTTTTCTTTTCTTTTCTTTTCTTTTCTTTTCTTTTCTTTTCTTTTCTTTTCTTTTCTTTTCTTTCTTTTTTTTCTTTTCTTTTCTCCTTTTTCCTTATTATCATTAGGTAACACAAGGCGTACTATATCTCTTGACATAATTTGTTATATACTTGTCCAATTATCATGTATCTAATTAATAAACATCTGGACTTTGAGACTTGTCTCACCGTTGTCCACTCTGTTGGGGCTTTACAAATCTAAGTCACTTGCCTCTCTCTTCTGAGCAGGACGTGACAGCATACTCTATGTATAGTGGTCATCTGTAGATGATGGTTAAGAAAAACATCCATGAAAAGAAAGAGCAGAGGGCCTGAGAGGAGCAGTATTGCTGAGCTCGAAGGGGCAGTGGCAACAACTACTGAAACACCACCAAAAATCTTCAGCACTCCCAGAAAGGCTGGACCAGTTAGAAAGAGATAAGAGATAAAATAGTGAAATTTTCAGAGGCCTTGAAAATACAGTGTGTTGGGAATGCTGGAAAGCCCAAAGAAGCAAGAACTACCAAGAGACAAGGCAACAGCCTTATGGCACATGAAAAGGATGCTGCAAAAAAAGCAAAGGACAATCTGTTTTCCATATCTGGGGCATCTAGGACAATATTTAATGGGATTAAATTAAGAAGAGGGAGATTCAGTTTAGACATGAGGAAAAATTTTCCAGTGGTTGGGATAGTAGAGAAGTAGAATAAATTTTTTTGACAAGGTGGATTCTTCATCATTAAAAGCAGATTTTAAACAGATTTTTAAAACAAGTCAAGAAAACAGCAGCTCTCAAGAGCGCCACTGGCATAACTGTTATTCTTTCATTCTTTCCAGCACTATAAGTCTGTTAGTGTAAATACCTGTTACAAATTGTACGTGCTCTTTTGAAAGCTTGCTTTTAAACATGATGCTAAGACAAAAAAATGGAAACTTGTATAAGGGAAGACTGCATAAGGAACACTGACAGGTTTATGGCCCTGAAACTTTGGGGTTTTAGGATAATATAGTCTATGATAGGTAAGTATTTACAGTGTCACATTATTTACATGGTTCTATATATTCTAATAGTGACTTACTAGGAAGCTGCCTGATTCTTTCTAAAGCTGTGAGCTACTAATATTTACTTATCAAAATATTGCATATAAGAATGATGCCTAAGTCTAACGAAAACTTTCTGCAAGTCCCAAGTGGACAAAATTCTGCTCTGAGATTCAGAAAAGAAATTGTGACTGCTTTTGCATGCCCTGTTTCAGCACATAGCTGGTATGAGTTACAGTGGCCTTGGGAATGCGGGATCTTTCAACAACCTGCTCACCTACTCCAATGCAGCTCACCTTGATAAATTTAATTTCTCTTATACATAGATACAGGCACACATGTATGCACAGAGGTATTTAAAGACAACACCAGAAAGTGGAAACAAAGAATATTATTTGAGATGGGCCTAACAGATTGGATTAAAAAAATAAATTAAACTAGCAACAAACAGTCCTTGAGTACCCGTGTGCCAAGCTTAATCCCCTCGTTAATTAAAAATGGCCGAATTATAACCCCTTTCAAAAATTAGGTTTACAGTGGAAATGCCAACTGAACAGACCCTTCACTGTAACAGCCCTGCTGGCACCCCCAGAACACAATCGCAGAACGGCAAAGCATATTGGCACCTCCTGTATATGCAATTGAAATATTCGCTCGGTGCCGTCTCTTCCTGTTAATTGCTGTGTGGAAAGCGGTCCCCCTACAACCTCTTTATCTATCTGCTTCAGAAGCGCTGCCTACCGCCGCGCGCACTCGAGGGGCACGGTTGGCCGGGCTGCTGGGCTCCGGTGCCAAGCTCGGCGAAGCCGCCGAGTCCGTCCTCCCCTCCCCGAGAGCGGCAGCTGGATTGCCGCTTGGCTCCCGGGCTGGCGCCTTGGCTCGCTCTGCTCTTGGCTGGTGCGGGGCTGTGCAACAGCTTGCACGCCTCGCCGGGCGGGATGCTCGCTGCCGCTGTCGCTCTCGGGCTGGCTCAGCAGCCTCCCCTTGCTTTTCAGGAGACGAGGGCTCCCGAGGTCCCCACTTTTGCAGCTTTTCTCCTTCGAATACCAGCAGCATAACAACTAAAAACCTCACCTGCTTTGAGAGACAGTTTGCTTTTCCATGCCTTGCACCCTCGCCTGTCCATTTTCTCTCTTTTCCACTTAAATCAAGAGCTTTATGCAGCAGGGTTGCTCTTAATTATGAGTTTCCTCAATACCTTGTAGGATGCACCAGGGCCCTGATATCAGCTATTAAAACCCGTCAGGCTAAGGTTAAACGCAGGCTGTAAAATGGCTTCTGCCTTCGCAGACGGATTCCCTGTACGAATTCAGGACCAGGGGCCAGATCTCCACTGGAGCCATGCCAATCCACACCAGCTGTCAGCACAGCCACAGAAGATCAAGTATTTCTGTTCCACCCCATCTCATCATCAGAACTGTCAGCTCAGGCCCCACCACAGAATATTTATTAGCAGTGACAAAGGAAAGAATAGAAATATCAACTCTTAGGCTGACTTTAGCAAAGTCAGTAGGTAAAAAATTTACAGTTTGTCCTTGTAAAGTGATTAAACATGCTGGGAAAGACATGGGGAAAAAAAAAAATACATCCTTGAGGCTTAGGGACAGGTTTGCTTTTTGTTTAATGAAGGATTGGCAAAGGGCTTATACTGCATGAAACTTGACAACTTTCGAACTCATATACAGAACTGGGAAACAGAGCAATCAGTGGAAGCACCGAAATATTGGTGCATCTGTGGGTCTGACCATGCAAAAGTTAAAAACAGTGAAGCAGTAAGGGTTTCTCTGTATAGAGAGACAGTATAAGTCTTTGCATTTACATACCAGCTGTCATCAAGGCTTAACCAAAGTGTTTCCAATTTCTTTTTATTGTATTTTGTATTGTGTTTATGTGTTGGAAATCGAGGCACAGAGCCTGCAAGTCAGGGTGAAAAAAAGGACATAGACAAATTAAATGAGGTGCCAGTGGAATTCAGGTGCTTAAATGCACAGAAAGTAATATTTAAAACTCCCCGCTCTGCTGCTGTCTAAACTTAGAGATATCTAAGTGCCCAAAGTATAATTCTTCTTTAACCAAAAATTCCTATATTCTTCTCCTCTACAGCGCACCAAACTATTCACCATCCTCACTGGTGGGCCCTCAATCCGAGCCACCACCAAGCAGAACCTTCTCCATCCCATAGCCAAGCCTTGCCATGCTCCAGCACCTCCCCTTCCTGCCAAACTGGGACCAATCCCAGGGAAAAAGATGAAGGACTCTCTGTGTCCCTGGCTGTGGACTGTGCCTGGTTGGAGAAGCTTCCCAGAGACCCCACATTTGAGACAAAAAGGGAGTTAAGGTTGATCTGCATGATCTGCCCTGGGGCCAGCAGCCACCCATCTGAGTTATGGCATCATCCTGCTCCCACCTGGGGGATCATTGAGTCTGACCCTTGTTTGTAGTCCCTAAACCCCAACTAGCAAATGAGGAGTAGAGGTCCTTGGGTTGCCTGCTGGGGATACACATTTCTAGGTGCCCCACGGGGACTCCAGCCCCAAGCACTCTGCCTATGGCTGTAAAGACACTCCACACCGGAGGCTTGTGTCAACTGACTTCCTATCCGGGCTGCTAAAAAGAACTCCCTTGACTAGGAAGACACCACCGCGGAGAACAAAACCATCTCCTGCTGAAGTGATTATATTTACTGTAAAACACAGAAGCAAATGAAATCTCTGATTGAGAGAAAAGGAGAAAGCTTTTAATCCCACTCTATGATACTTGCCAGATTGACAAGTCTAGAAATACAAATGGAAGAGTAATTATACAAGACTCACTTATGTTGCTGCTCAGATTTATTTTTTCAAATATAAGAAAGAGAAAGAGACAGAATAGTCCTGGCTTGTTATATTGGTTTCCAGAGCTGTTAGTGGAAATTGATTAGAAATCTAAGTTCAAGATGTACTAAACTACTCAAAAAATCTTCTCCTCTTAGCTGTGGCGCAATCACAGTATTATGGATTGATACAAGACAAAGGAAAAAATAAAAGGAAGAAAATAGCAATTTGTAGCAAAATCATATTCTCATTGTTACAAGTCCTATAGCCCTTCGTGGAGGAAAGGAGAACTGTGTATGCTACCTGATCCCAATCATTTTAAAGTTATGGGAGAAATATCTACAACTATCCATTAAATCTTTGAATTCAGTCAGTAAACAAAAGCTATAGAGAAGACCAAACACTGAAGTGTCTGGCAACTTACAGTCACTAAATATTAGGAAAAGATACGTCAGGGCTTTGGGTCAGACTTGAGCTCAGCATGAACACATTTCTTTGAGGGCCCTTGAGGACACTGTACTTTTTAATTGGACTTGTACTTCCAATTTGAGACCTGAGTATCCACCACACAAGGCATTTTTTTAAAAACACAGCATAGACAGGATTCGTCTTGCCTAATTCAAAACATCCACACTGGAGACATCTGTGTCTTACTGAGCCTCCCATCCTTTGTAACCGTGAAGAGAAACAGGCACTTTTACAGCACGCTCAGCTGACCTATTTTAGATATCAGCTTTAGGGCAAGATGAATCATGCCTTGAATGTGCCAATTTCCCTGTGGTGCCAAAGAAAGACTAGACAACCAGTTTATTTTCTCAGATGAATCCCACGTGGCTGTGGCTGATAGACTTGTGCTACAATCTGGCTGATTGTGAACTGTGTCTGTTCCCAAGTCTTACATCATCCTACAGAGAGTCCTGTGAGTTGTATATATTAGCTTGAGTAGTTATGCACTAATTTGATGATATACTACCAGTACTAGAGCTGCCTTGCATCTGGCCAGCTAAAAAATTATGTGGAGGAAATCATCTCTGCATATACCTACCCATTCATACACCTTCAATGCAGGAAAGAAACCATCACTGCTTCAGTGTTGATGTATTAACGGGAAGGGCCACTGGAAAGAAAAGAAACAGCAAATGAAAACTTGCCCAAAGTCATACTGGAAGCATGATGAATGTAGGTCTACAAGCCACCTTTTCCATCCCCCTTCCCGCCCAGTTCAGTATTCATCAGCTGGAGGATCGATCACTTCTTCAAACACTTCCATTATCTTTGGAAGTCTTTCACCCTCCTTGGGAAATCTGGCCCTTTGTGTTTTAAGAGCAGACCAGCTATGAGATGTCTTCAGGAACCTCCAGACCTCCTGTTCCTCCTGGAACAATTGCAACACCAGTCTAGGGTCTGAAATGAGAGTGTGGCTGTGCCTTGGTGGGTCCTTAGAGGTAAGTTTGAAAAGAAACAACTGTCCCCAGATACCATCAGTGCTGCTGTAACACTAGTGTGCTGACAATTGCCATGGTCTACTAATGAATCTGGATGGTTTCCTTTGAGAAACAAATCACCTTAAACTTTTAAGTTGTTTCCAGAGGTCTTATTTTATAAAGTCTGAATCAAACAACAGCAGATTCAGCCTAATTCCAGCAATGTTGGTATGGATCTATAGTGGAAATAATTTGCATTTTCAGTTTTTGTTTCTTGGTGGATGTATATTAATGCCCCAGATAGCAGTATCAAGTAAATCATTTATATTCTAGTCTTTCCTCCTTTGGTGAAGACTTTTTTCTGAAAGTCTGTTTTATAGGTAAAGATTCGGATTGCACAGGGACACTGAATATTTAACAGGAGCTTTCCTTCCAAATTTTGTTTCCATCAGGGCTTAAGAAAGATAACAATAGTTTTATATGTCTGATTAAAAAGCCAACACTCCAAACTGTGCGTATGTAAGGTTTTGGCATGATTTCTGTTATGGTCATAATCAGCTGCTTGCCCATTCCAGCTGCTAAAGCACAGTAGACAAGACTTGAATTCCAAATATTATTCTCATTACCATGGTATCCTGTGCACAAATCCCCAAATGTAATTAAAGAAGTTTGAGGTTCTGACTCCAAAGGCCAGGTCCATAAATAATTTCAGCTCTTACAATTAGGTGACATTGTATTTTGTTTTGAGACTTTTGTATGGCAGGGAGTGATTCCAGAAGCTGCCTTGCCTCCAACAGACAGAAAGAGATCAGGGCACTCCAGAGAAGGAATGGAAAATAGACCCCCCCAAAAAAACCACACACAGAGCAGAAAGTCATGTTAGGCCAAGCTTGTTGAAGATGCTGCACACGGGGACATGTCTGCAAACTCACCTCTCTTGGAAGCTCCTCACCCAGGCTTCCAGAGAAGCAGCTCCATCTCCTCAGGGTCTTTGGATAGAATCCTCTTTTCCTCCTGAATGTCAGGGTTAAAACCTATGTTAAACACAAACACGCCCTGAACACAAACAGAAAAAGGCTTTTTGGTCACTCTCTCCTTCACCTCCCAAATTCCCAGCAAGAATTTTAACTGTGAGGTGGCAAAGCAAAGACCCTTTGCTATGCTGACTCTTTGGCTCAGTATTCCCATGAACATCCCAAATATCAAAATATTTTCTAGACAGCAGCTCAAAAACCAAGACTCTCTTCCAGGAGATGGCAGAGGAAGATCTGAACACCTTAAGGGTGAGGGATGTGAACGACACTGGTATGCACTTCCATGTTTTCAGAAAGGGAGATCCCACTACTTTCTTTGGGCAGGCTTATCTTGTTACTGCCCATTAGATTTGCCCTGAGAACCACTACCAGACTGGATAACCCAAAGGATTTACCTTTGTCTTTAATCCTCCATCCCATGATAAACAAAAATAACCAGGACTTCAGATTGTAGCTTTTCATGCTTTTACTCAACATAAAAAAGCATGATTGGTGAGACTGAACACCAGCAAACCTGTAGGTACAGAGGACTCCAGTAATACAAGGAGACACATAAGCAAAGAACCTCCAGAAATGGGTGGTGGTTGGAATAGGCACTATATGTTTTCATATTATGATTTACGTGCTTCAGTGTCACGTTTCACTTTAACTACCAGGTCCCTTCTGGGCACAACCCTTAGTGCCTTGCATGCAAATATGGCTAACAACTAGTTCAATTAGTTTTCTTTTGGAGGGCAGGGAGAGGAGAGCAATCATAGAGATTTTTAAAAGTGGTTACAAGAACAAACAGCAGAAGGTTGTCTTGAGATAGGAATAGGAAGTACTGGGGCCTGACCTAGTTTTCTGGTCCTGCAATAGCTCATACAGTAGTGTAGGACCAGTCTCTTGGAAAGTCACCACCTTCTACATAAGGAGTAAGGGATTGGCTTTGCCTGAGGAACAACAGTGTTTGCCCTAGAGCTTCATCCTGCAAAAAATAGCAATAAATAGCTTTTAACATGTAATTTTATATACTTTTAAAGATGACACAAGAGACACAGGATCAGTATTATTCAGTTGCATGTTTACTTCATTCTAGATCCTGCAAATCCACATTTTTCCTTTCTGTATGCTCCAAGGCTGAGTTGCTGGTGACTCATCTCAGGTGTCTTGTCCATCCTAAACACAGTCAATTAATTTCCTTCTGAAGAAGATTTGATCAAGCTGGCTTCTCAGCTGTGAATATCTTTCTTGAAATTATAACCCTAAATTATACCATCTTCCATATTGTAAAAGCTATGAAGAAAAGGAGATTAAAACCATTGGGATGAAGAGACACATACTTTTTCCTCAAGTTCTCTTCTGTCCCTGCTATCTTCCACCAGTCTGACAAAAAGCTCTTTGTAAGAGCCTCTTGAAATGAAGAATCTAGTACCCAATGACAAAAGGATTAGTCTTTGACTGTACTTCACTCCATGCTACACTAATACAATCAGCATGGGAAATGTTATCCATTAAGAGGTTAGGAGAGGATGGAAGACCAGGTGGTGCTAGAGACCTAAATTATAAAGGTTTATTTTCCATGAAGCATGATTTTTATTTGCTTCTAACTTTAGGAAGTAGCAATGCTGGAGGTGAAACACACAGCATGAGATGTTCAGCCACGTGCTTGAGGGCAGGTGTGCTGCTGAGTACTTACAGCACTTCCATCACACTGAGCTTGGGCTGACCTGTGAAAAGGATACAGGAAAACTGGGATTACTTCAGAGAAGTTAATTCAGAACTAAAGCAGCCTGCACAGACCGTGCTCAAGGTGCCACTGAAGGCACGAGGAACTGCAGGAGACCTGGACTGAGTTTGGGCACTGAAATGTAGGAGTGCAATCCACAAAACATTTATCACCTGAGGCTCCTGAAGGGCCATAAACACATAATTTTTGCCACTGTAATTACCCAGCTATCTGGAGTTTTGCTACTGCACTCAGAAATGCTGTCATCTCAGCAGGACTATGTGAGTTAGCATCTATGTCATGTACATGCCTGTTGGGATCTGCAAATTAGGTCTTTCTGTGCTTAAGTTCCCTGAGCAGTCTCAGCTTTTTCTTAGGTATGAGGCACAGGGGAGGATGTTTTGCACAGATTTTCTCTCATGACCTAGAAGCTCAGACACCTCTTTCGGAGTGGGAGATAGGACACACAACCTCCCCTCCCAAAACTGAAAACTGGCTTAGCATGGGAGGCAATCCAAAGCTCGAGAGAGAGTGAGCAAGATTGTGCAGGCCATCGATAAAAGCTCTGACCCTGCACAAAGGACTTGGGCTTTCCAGTTTCTTTACAGGAACCACATCTGCATTTTGCATTATGTTCAGTAAGGCATTCACCAATTCTGCACTTTTGCTGTCTCAGCAGCAGAAGAGACGTCCGATTCTCTACAACATAAGCTGCTCTCGTAGGATAAATACATTATATTTTTGTGATGTGCACTGTCATATGCTCTCTCAATGCTAGGATAAACCAGAGTTCATGGCTTTGGAAAACAGAATTGATGACAAGCATCATTAAATCTCCAAGTAACTTTTTTTTTTCCCCTGAGATGTCCTTCCTGAAGCCACAGAGAAGGACATTCGATATATATATGTGTCACCATTACTTACATCAGTAATCTAGTAGACAAGACTGTGGGATTGACATGATGGCCACAGGGCCTGAATTTAGGTCACATATGAAATAAATTAAAAGCTTCTTCTTATCTCAGTGCAACATCTCTCCCTCACCCCCACCCTTATCTGGCACAAAGATGAGGAAAACTAACCCATTGCTTACCAAGCAACTTCTAAGCACAACAGTTTCTAAATCAGGATACAAGACAACATTACATTGGTCTAGCCACAACAGTAAAACTCGGAATTGTGTTTGTCCCTATGTAGTTACTGCTACTTATGTCAATGACAAAGATCTCTGTGTGAGCTGTTTATTTAAAAATATATATATATAAACAACAAAAAAAAAAACCAACTAAAAAAACCCACACACATGCAAAATTTGGACCAAATCTAAGTAATTGGCTTGTATCAGATCAAATACCCAGTGGTACCTCTGCCTGGATCATGCTCCCCACTTCACCTCCTCTTCTACAGAGCAAACTGTGCAGTGCAGAGATGGCTTTAGGGTGAACGATAGAATGCAAGCAGAGACTACCACCCAGAAGTGCCAGGTGAACCCTCCTCTAGGAAAACAGCTCTATCATTCCCATTTTTAAGTGATTTATGGTTTTATAAAATACAACAAACACCCCACACTGCCCAGATTTGCATATACTCATTATGAAAGTCCAAATGGAAACCTGCCACCAACACAAGGCACACATCCCCACTTGAAGCCAAGGCACACTTGAGTCTTTTTGGGGTTGAAGGACAGCAGACAAAGATGTTTTCCAAATGTTTTGGGAGCATTTTTGCAGGACAGGGCAGACAAAACCTGATCCTGGTAGCTAAAGGAGCCCAAATCCTTCAGCACTCAATTCTCAGGTGCTGAAGGGACATACAGCAAATCTAATGAGATGAGGTTGGGGTTTGGGTGCTGAGGGAAGAGGTCTAGAGCTTTAATCTGGGAAATTTCTTGTGCTTGATTCTGCCTGGGTACCTAGGAACTGACTCTCTATACTTAATATGTAAATAAATACGGTACCATCAAAGCCAACAATCTCCTGGGATTTCTCCCCTGAGTCAGCTTTGCAAAACACTACATTTTTGCCCAATCGTTCTGATGAAAACCGACAGCAATACACTTTACTGCACACCTCAGAAACAAAGTGTGATAGTAGGGGCCCAGCATGTCCTCTCTGGGGACTGGCCAGCTCAAATGAATAAGACATGGCAGAAATTAAGCAGAGGTTAAAACTGCTGTACAATGATATGTATATACTGTGGTGTGTAAGGAGAATGAGATGAAATGGGGGGTGGGGGAGAGGGGGGAATTCCAGTTTAGGTTTTTCTCTGGTATTTTTTGTTTTCTTTTTCTTTTGTTCTTGAAGAGATTTTTAAAAGGTTGTCAACAGAGGCAACAGCACGTAGGTGTGGATTTACAGAGGTATAAGGTGGTAGACCATGGGGAGACAGAAGGGTGGGATGTGCTACTTAAAGACATCTGCCTGCAAGAGGGAGAGGCTGCACATTAGAAGCAAGCAGGCAGTGAAGGGGGTGTGTGTGTTTGGAGGTAGGAGCAGGTGCTGGACATCCATGGATGCCAGGAAGGGCAGTGGGCCAAGGTCAAGTGGGAGGAAGGAGGGGCTACTGGGCAGGCTGGTCATTGAGACCTCCAGTGCCCAGCTCTGCTTCTGCAGAAATGTAAGCCAGGTCGAGGTGGTCAGGATATACATGCAGATGACACTTAAATGGAGGATTTCTCATTTCCCCAGATTTTTACAGTCTATTAGACCATGGATTGCAACAGCCAATTTAAGCATGCCTTCCACTGCACTTCAGCCTGTTCCATAATCGCTGAAAGATAGAATTTGGCTTTAAAGCCATCATTTTTCATCCCAGGGACAAAGCCTGTTTTCACCCACTGTGCCAAGACATTCTATGAGATTAAAATTATGTCTCTTGCAAGACTGTCAAGATCCTGCCTTCAAGTGTCTCTTTCTAATTGTTTTCAGAGGCTGCCAGCCTTACAGGGTGTAGAGCTAACTTCAGAAGATGTGGGGTGGAAAAGTCTTTTTAAAATTATTTCTAAAATCAGAGGAAGAGAGAAGGCTATTTAATTCCATACAGAAAATCACTACTTCTTCCTGCCAAGCAGCAGTGGGAACACAGGCCTTGGAGTTCACGGTTCAAGAGTGCAATCATTTGACATGCAGTCATTGCCAGGAGGGAAGAGGAGGGGAGGCCAACCTAGGCAGAAACTCTGCAACTCTGACCTTCCAAGAGAAAATCCCAATTTGCAGAGCTATCCTTCAAGGACCTGGCTTCACAGACATTCATTGCATTCACCTTCACCTTGGCAATCAGAAAATAATGATAACAAAGGCATCAAGGTTTAAAAG